TTTCAAATGAATAGAGGAAAAACCCAGGATTATACAGGCCGAAAGCCAGAGTTTAGAATATCTGCAGCTGTAAAGGTTTTCAAAATGTATGTGGAGCTGCTGGATTGATTTGCCCTTGTCTTGGTAACCTCCGAGCGAACAATATTTAATCTAGCAGTCGAGGGAAGAGGAGCACAGTGTTGTGTTTCCACCTCCGCTCTTCAGTACCGGGCAAAACGCATTTCAAACATTGTTTTCAAACAAAGGAAGATTTCTTCTAAGACTTTTCTTCTCCATCCTCTCCACTAGAGATGGGCAAGCAGCTCTTTGCTCGTACAAAACAAGAAATCTGAAATAAGCGGAGAGCTTTCTCCATAAACTATATTGGTTAGAACACTTAACATTTCTGTCTCCATTTTTAACATTCCCTTTATGCCGCCTCATCTGTTGCATTGTGGAACTGAAGTCTTTTGAGTCGGCATATTGGCGTGTGCTAAATTTCAAATGGTGGGAAAGAAGTCCATGCCAGGATACCACCCCAGATTCTGTCATGTGAAAAGAGCAGTGTTAGAAATTAGCCAGGCGCCAGGAGCATTTTGCGACTGACGTGGGTCCAATTGTGACCACGTGGAGAACTCTGGAGACCAGGCTGGCGACTGACATCTCCACCTGGCTGGCCCCTCCAGCTTTCTTAAGCAGATAAGCAAAACATCTTATTTATTGCATTTAGATTCCACCTTTTTTCTCCAAGGAGCCCTTGGTTCACCCCCACCCTCAGTTAATTCCTAAAACAACCCTAAGAGGCTGTGACTGGCCCAAGGTCACCCAGTGAGCTTCATGATGGAGTGGGGATTTGAACCCAGACCTTCCACGTCCTAGTCCGACACTCTAACCACTATACCACACAGGATCCCTGGAGTCTTTCTGCTATGGGGCAGTGACCTTTAGTGTTGGTGCTGACCTTTAAAGCCCTAAACAGCCTCGGTCCAGTATACCTGAAGGAGCGTCTCCACCCCCATCATTCTGCCTGGACACTGAGGTCCAGCTCCGAGGGCCTTTTGGTGGTTCCCTCCCTGCGAGAAGTGAGGTTACAGGGAACCAGACAGAGGGCCTTCTTGGTAGTGGCGCCCGCCCTGTGGAACGCCCTCCCTTCAGATGTGAAGGAAATAAGCAGCTATCTTATCTTTAAAAGACATCTGAAGGCAGCCCTGTTTAGGGAAATTTTTAATATTTAACGCTGTATTGTTTTTAACACTAGATTGGGAGCTGCCCAGAGTGGCTAGGGAAACCCAGCCAGATGGGCGGGGTCTAAATAATAAATTATTATTATTATTATTATTATTATTATTATTATTATTATTATTTTAGGTCTGTATATACAGTGGTACCTTGGGTTACAAATGCTTCAGGTTACAAACACTTCGGGTTACAAGCTCTGCCAACCCAGAAGTAGTACCTCGGGTTGAGAACTTTGCCCCAGGATGAGAACGGAAATCGCACAGTGGCGGCAGCAGGAGGCTCCATTAGTGAAAGCGTGCCCCAGGTTAAGAACAGTTTCAGGTTAAGAACAGACCTCTGGAACGAATTAAGTTTGTAACCCAAGGTACCACTGTATATATATCTCCGAGCCTTCTTTAATCATCACCTCTCTGAGCAAACGGAGGGCTGTGAGGACTGCGATGCTGATTCGCATGTGCTAAATAAAAAATGGTCTTCCAGGGCCCCCATTACTTATCCAGACTGTGCGTCTCTATAAGCTTTTCCCTCTTTGGGGGGAAAAATGCTAGCCTATGTATAATTATGTTGTTTGTCAAGAATGTTTGTTCACATCTGTCTGCCGGCAATTTTTATAAATCAATTAAGCCTTCGACAGATACCATGCTGTCGTTTCTTTGAGTTCCCACAGATGTCGCTTAGTCATCAACCAGCATGAGTTACTTCGGAAAAACAATCCGCTGGTGTGAGCGGTTGACTGACTTGCGCGTGCATGCGAAGGCTAATTAAAATGTTTTAAGAAGAAGAAGAAGAGTTTAGATTTGATATCCAACTTTATCACTACCCGAAGAAGTCTCAAAGTGGCCAACATTCTCCTTTCCCTTCCTCCCCCACAACAAACACTCTGTGAGGTGAGTGAGGCTGAGAGACTTCAAAGAAGTGTGACTAGCCCAAGGTCACCCAGCAGCTGCATGTGGAGGAGCGGGGAAGCGAACCCGGTTCACCAGATTACGAGTCTACCGCTCTTAACCACTACACCACACTGGCTAAGCAGCCCTTAACCGTGCGCATAAGTGGGAATGCTCCCCGCGTTTCCTGGCAACCGTTTGGTGGCGCGGCAAAGAGTCGTGCACCTGTTTTAGAATGGGATCCGGTTCAGATCGGCCGGCATTTTGTTTGGCAAATGCTAGTCTTAAGTCGAGGAATAACTGGTCCCTATCACTGTGAGCCTGAGACTGTCCTCTGCTGAACTTGGACTTGAAAGATGCCTTTTGTGGTAGCCAGAAGAATGGATTGAAATGTATGATCTGTTGCAGCGTGTGTACGGGGTCTGCAAGAGTTTCTGCAGCTCAGTCTGTAATGCACGAGATTCTTAATCTCTTCTTTTTTTTCAATTTTTTTTATTGGTTTTCCAATTTATAACATACAAAAAAATCAAAAATGAAAAAACAGACAAACATTTATCCTTGCTATAATGATTCCACTTTTGTTAACATTGTTGAATGACTTCCTCGAATCCCCATAGCTGAGTTTCCCTATACTCCATTGTAACAGTTTTCCAAAACTATTTTCCCATAAAATTTACTTAGTCAATTTACATCTTTCTTTCTTCTCATTTTAACATTAACATATTATTTTACAACATCACAAATTTAAATCCTAGGCCTATCTGGTACTCGCAAGTAATTCTATTTATGTTATCTTAACATATTTAGCTAAATAATCTTTAAATGTCTTCCAATACTCTTGGTATTCCTCCTCCCTCTGTTCACGGACTCTTCCGGTCAGGTCGGCTAGCTCCCAAAAAATCCATCATCTTCATCTGCCATTCCTCCACTGTTAGTACTTCTTGAAGTTTCCAATTTTTGGCCAACAAAATTCTAGCTGCAGAATCTTAATCTCAGTGTTGTGGGTTCAAGCCCTCTCCTTCTCTCAGACCTTCTTCTCTGCAGCTTGAGAGACGTCAGTGGGTTACTAGACCCAGGGGCCGCCTCAGCCTCCCCTGACCCAACCAGTAGTGGAGCAGCTGTAAGTGATGGCCCAGCTGAAGGCAACGAGGTCATCCCCCCCATCTGGAGCCAGGGCAGGCTCAGGCCCCTGACTCGGCCCAGCTAGTGTTTGTTGCAGGGGAACCTGTGCAGACTGGGACTCTTCAGGATCAGGCCCCAGACTTGGTTCAGATGATGCCTGAGGCAAAGGATCTGGCTCAGACTGCATCTCCTCTGGTTCCGAGTCCCAGGCCATCACACAGACTATGTCCCACTGGCAGGCCGCTGAGCAGTGATGCTCCATTATGCGCACGCCAAGGCGCATATGCTTCTGGGCCCCTGGGTCTTCACAGGCCAGCAATATTTCAGTATTCTCCGATCTGTTGTGTGAAAAGGCATTCCTTCTTCAAAGCTCGAACAGCTCCCCAAGCCTATTGCGACGATCTTTGCCTCTTCATCGCTTCCGTTGCCATTCTCTGTGTCTGCTCAGACTGCCTCCTTTTAATGTGCAATGGCAAATAGAATGGCACAAGGGTGCTCAGTGTGTGGAACTACAGCAGACACCCAAATAGTGCGTCGTCGTCATACCTGCCCCCCGCTTTTAATACAACAGTGAAAAGAGTTCAGCTTTGATCTACCTTGCAGTAAAAAAATAAAATAAAAATGAAGCCTTTTCCTTAAAAGGGGGGCGGGGGTTTGAAAAGAAAGCATTCATTTAGAATGGCGACAGTACATGTAATTAAGCGGGGATGGGCTCTAATTAAACTAAAATTGATAGGTGTGAGCACACATAAATCAGCGCTTAAATAAACGAAAAGCAGATTGCTGTCATTCAATGAAAAAATCTATTGGTTTAAAGTTGTTGCTGCGTGTGTGGTTTTTTTGTTTTTTTACTTAATGGAATGCCATGCATGACAATTGGTGAAAGAGATGAAAAAATGAACATTTTCCCTGGAAAAACAACAGTCACAAGGTTAATGAGGCCCTGGTTTGGCCTTAGAATGGAAGCAACTCATTGTGGATATTCAGGCGTGCAAAACTGGTAGTTCTGCCTAGGAAGTGCCGTGCAAACTGGTGTGTGTGTGTGTGTGTGTGTGTGTGTGTGGTGTTGTTTTTTTGTAAAATGCTGTGAAAATAATAATAAGAAGAAGAAGAAGAAGAAGAAGAAGAAGAAGAAGAATATATTTATACCCCACTCATCTGGCTGGGCTTCCCCAGCCACTCTGGGCAGCTTCCAACAAAATATTAAAATACCGTAATGCACCAAACATTAAAAGCTTCCCTAAACAGGGAAAAGAACAAATGAAACATCCTCAAAACTCAGAATGGGAGATCTGACTCAAATGCACGATATATAGATCACACAGCTACTGGGCAGTAATGGGAAAGACCCACAAAGTTTAGTATATTCCTTCTAATGCCTTCATTTGAAAATGATTAATCTATCGTCTTGAAATATTGATCTTAACACTTCTTGGTTCTTCCTGATTGTTCTGTCTCTTTGTGGCAGTGGGGTGGTTTTATCATTTTATGGAATTTGTGGGGGGGGTTTGTTGTTTTTAAAAGCTTTATTTGTTTTTTTATTTTAAAAATTGTATATCATAACCTTTTAACGGTATCCAGCATAGTGCTGAGTAACTCCTTGTGAAAGCAGAATGACTTCCGCTTTGCACAACAGGACTTTCCCCCTCCTCCTTCTTGCACCCCCTAAACCTGCTCTGGGGGTCCCCCAACCCCTTAGGACAAAATTGGGGGTGATGTGGGTCATGCATGGGGTAGCTGTGTGTGGAAGTTTCATTGCGCAAGTGGAAGTTGTTCCACTCACACAATTATTTGGATACCACCACATGGCTCTTCATTAGAAGAAGAAGAAATGTAATATTGCTAACTAACCAGAGGTTCTCCAGATCTTTTGTGAAGCTGCAGGAACTACATCTCTTGAGTCACATAGACAGAAATGACTCACTAGGTGGGAAAGGAAAAGTTTCCAGATCTGATGCCTGAGGCTGGACGGCTTCCAGGTTGCTGTCATCCTTTGACTAGGTAGATGTATTTGAGAAATGGGGGGAATGAAGGTGGAATTGGGAGAGCAAGGAGTTCTCCAGCCTCCTTGATGGTCACAGTGACACACAGGAGTGCTATAGAGGCTAAGCACAGGTGAGTTAAATTGAATCTTGTCTGCATTGAGCCTGATTTAGCTCCTTTGACATGATTCTGTTCTGAGCTGAGAGAAAGGGAGTTATGTCAAGGAGACAGTTAATACATCAGTGTGGGGAAGATATGCATTGTAAGAACAGATTTCGCAAACTGGGGAAAAACATATTTCAGTGGTCGAGTGTCTGGTTTTTTAAAAGTTTTTATTTATACTTTTCAAATTTATACATTTCATTAGTTTTACAATCAATTTCACATTTCAAAATTTGTCTTCCTTCCCCCTCTTTCTGCAGTTCCTTAAATTTATTTTTTAATATCTTCTGCATATCCAAATTCACTTAGCTTGCCCATTTAATTATCTGCTGTAACTATATACTCTTATGAAACTGCAGGCTATTACAATAATCCTGCCAATGTTTTCCCAGCTTCTCGATTTTTCGCCCATGCTTAGCTTCAGTTCTCCACAATTCCCCATCTGTGTGGTCACAAAAATACACCAGCATTTTAGTGCAAATTTCTCCTAACACATCTTTGCATGCACTTCTGCCTAATACAATGCATCTTGCATGTTATTTTCACAAATATATTTATTTCTGTGCACATTTTACTGCAATGTGTGCATTTCTGCACAAATCACCTGACTGGAGAACCACATTGCGAAAATTCGGAGAAGCACGAGTTTCTAAGAATGGCTGGGTTTCAGTTCATGTATTGTGTGGAACATGCAGATAGGGTAGAGTTGCCTGCAGAAGTGAACTGAATTGAATTTCTCCCCCCCACCCATCCTCCCCCCCAAGGGACATGGGGAACCATCTCTGACTCCTGCTTTGAGCCTTTGCTCCTCAGGTGGCAAAGCATCTTAGGCCGACATTGTTTCAGAGCGAAGGAAATGCAATGACAGAGAGGAGGGAATTAATAAGCATTGCTCGCCTCAGCTTTAGCTTCCATTAACATTAACCCGACGCATTGGAAGCGTGCTGCAGTTAGAGAGGTAATTACAATAAACAGATTCCATTTGGAACCCGCAATCCAAATGTGAGTGGTGCAGGGGGAGAAAGACCTGCGTTTGGGAGAATGTTGTTATTTGCCTGGAAAGTCAGAGAGACGTGTTGGCAGGCGATAGCTAGTGGGCCATTCCTCTTTTGAGCTAAGTTGTTTTTTCGGCAACTGTGTTATTCTGCCCTCCCTGCTCCCCGCAAATGCATCTTTCGCCTTCTGCAATCAAGCTTTTGATAGCTGAATGCCACAAAGCTCAAGAGTTGTGTCTGTGATTAAGATGCAATGCCTCTTCCATTCAGAAAGAATAACAGAATTGTAGAGTCGTTAATTAATGTTCCCAGCCCTGAGTCTGATCTGGCTTGCAGCAGTTCCCAAACTCTCGGGTGGAAGTCTTCTCCAAGCTCTGATGGCAAAGGTCTTTTTAAAATGGAGATGTTGAAGTTTGGTCGAGGGACATCAGTTTTTGAGCTATGGCCTCACTCCAAGTGCAAATTTCAACACGGCACCTCCCAGTGATGTGCACTGATGCCAACAAGCACTTATCGGCAGATCTGCTGTGATGTTTAAGAGGCACTTAGTCTGCGCTTTGGCTAAGAGCCCATCCGCGTTTAGTGCATCCAAACCAAATATGGATAGGCCTTGCAGCCCTTGGAGGCATAGCAAATGCATGCGCCAAGCATGTTCATCCTGGCCACCACATGGAACACCACTGCATGCAAGGGTTGAAGGAGTTGGGTGCGTTTAGCCTGCAAAAGAGGAGGCTGAGAGGAGATATAATAGCCATCTTCAAATATCTGAAGGACTGTTACATGGAAGATGGAGCAAGCTTGCTTTCTCCTGCTCTGGAGGGTAGGACTCGAAGTCACAAGAAAGGAGATTCTGACTCAACATCAGCAATAACTTTCTGGTAGTAAAGAGCTATTCGACAATGGAACGGTCTCCCACAGGAGGCTGTGGACTCTTCTTCCTGGGAGGTTTTTCAGCAGAGGGTGGATGGCCATCTGTCATGGATGCTTTAGCTGAGATTCTTGCATTTTAGGGGCTTGGACTGGATGACCCTCAGGGTCCCTTCCAACTCTACAATTCTATGATTCTCATCCCCACCCCCATCCTCATGGCTGGTTAGGATTATGTCCTCTTAGAAAGAAACACACCAGGCCTACTGAAGCACATCAAAGGAGTCCCTTTTCCAGTGATCTTATGCCACGGCACAATATAATTAGTTTTAATCATAGCATTGTCATTTTCCCTCAAACAGAGCAAGCAGAAATGGGGATCAGACATCCAGAATTTAATCGAATAACTTCCCCGCATCCACGGAGACAGGCTTTGTTTAGATTCAGCTGACCTCCCCGTCAACTCCTCAAAGTTAAATGAGCTCTTAAAAAAAAAGTTTGGGGTTCTTTCCCCCCCCTCAAAAAAAAATCACCTGGTTAATATTGAAGAGCCTGGCCTTAATTGCTCGTCACTGGTAATCAGATAGTCGTAGCTATGGTGATGTCCTTAAATGGAATGGAATGAAAGAGTGGTTACAAACAATGACTTTCATTCATTCTGAAGGACTTGATGGACAACCTGATCATTTCATATACATATGTACTTAAGGTATGATGGATGTGGTTGTTTTTTTTTTTTTTAAATAGACAGTGTTATCAATAGAGCCTGACGGCACAAAGTAAAAGAATGGAATGTAGGAAGATAGGAAGCTGCCTTATAGCAAGTCAGACCATTGGTCAAACCAGCTCACTAACCTCAAGGTTAGATTACTGCAGCACATTGTGTATGGGGCTGCCTCTGAAGCCAGCCAGCTGGAGACGTTAGTCGCCAAACCTGGCGATCAGACATCCCCACTTCCTCTCTAAAGGCTGGTTGCCTGTCATGAAATGTGGCTGGCTCCTGGTTAGTTTTGAACGCTGTTGGCCATACACAAAGTAGCCACTATCAGTTGCTTTGGATGTGTTGCAAAGACTTAGCTTTTTGCCCAGGCCGTCCCTGACCCATGAGTGCTTTTTTTATTCATTGTTGCTGTTTAGTCGTTTAGTCGTGTCCGACTCTTCGTGACCCCATGGACCAGAGCACGCCAGGCACTCCTGTCTTCCACTGCCTCCCGCAGCTTGGTCAAACTTACGTTGGTAGTTTCGAGAACACTGTCCAACCATCTCGTCCTCTGTCGTCCCCTTCTCCTTGTGCCCTCCATCTTTCCCAACAGGGTCTTTTCCAGGGAGTCTTCTCTTCTCATGAGGTGGCCAAAGTATTGGAGCCTCAGCTTCAGGATCTGTCCTTCCAGTGAGCACTCAGGGCTGATTTCCTTCAGAATGGAGAGGTTTGATCTTCTTGCAGTCCATGGGACTCTCAGGAGTCTCCTCCAGCACCATGATTCAAAAGCATCCTCCAAATTCATTGCTTTTCGGTGTTGTATGCTTTTATACCACCATTTTACTGGGTTTATGTTGTATTTTTGTTTCAACGATGCTCTCTGTTGCTTCTATGTTGTACACCACTTAGAGACGCTTAAAATATTAAGCAGTTTATAATTGCTTTTAAATAAATAAGTGACATGGGGTAAACATGATATGGACTTACTCGAAATGTGAAACCGAGATACCACATAGTGATTCTACAGGGTTACCCGAGCTTATTCTGTAACCTAACTAAAGACACAGCAGAACGTTGACTTTGGTCACTTGCCATCTTTTGAAAGATGGTTAGGTTTGCACATCTTGTAAACACTTATCTATTTGCCCAGGCTTTCCATGCACCCTGTTTTATGTGTGCAAATTAAGTCATTTCTCATTAAAATGCAAACAAAAACAAACTCTCCACCCCAAAAGGAAACTAGTGTGGCTCCTGAAACAGATTTTGCCCTGGTGCCTCTATGTTATGGGCCTAGCCTTAGTGATGTCTAGTGAAGACATCTGAAGACTGCCCTGTTTAGGGAAGTTTTTAATGTCTGACGTTTTATTGTGTTTTTAATACTCTGTTGGGAGCTGCCCAGAGTGGCTGGAGAAACCCAGCCAGATGGGCGGGGTATAAATAATAAAATTATTATTGTTCTTGTTGTTATCTGGTGCTTTCCAGATGTTTTGAACTACGTATAGCTCCCATCAGCGCGGGCCAACACAGCCATGCTAGCTGAGACTGATAAGAACTATAGTCTGAAACACACCATTTAGACTTTGGTTATACATTATGAAGAAACCCTTTCTGGGACCCCAAATTTAAATTCTTTTTTTTTTTTTAATGATATTTATTGGAATTTTTTTTTTAATTACAAAAGAGAACAAAGTAGAAAAAGAAAAAAGAAAGAGCAAAGAAAAAAACAAACCACATCAAACAATACAAATTCAAAAAAAAAAAAATACACCACAAACATTTAAAAACAAATCCATCATTCTCAAATCCTCAACGGTCATTACCTTCTTTCTTTGACCTCCTCCTCCTCCCTTTTTTTGTATCCTAGTTGTTAATTGTCGCAGCAAATCCTTTCCGTATTTCCTAATATTCTGTCATTACATTACCTTAAACTATTTTAATCTTATCTTACTATAAAAAACCTTAAAACTTAAAACTTATTTTTACCAACTTCTCATAACCATAATATTCTTAAGTAATTCTTTACACATTTTTACTAAAGCCAAGTAATTTCATTCCAACATTTTTCTAACATTCATCAATTTTATAAAACAATCCTAGTAGTAAAAAAGAAATAAAAACAATCCAATCTTCATCCAGCGTCCCTTCCTCCTGGTCCCGGGTTTTGTCAGTCCTTATTATCCCATCGATCTAGCGCATTAACCTGGTAACCTTGTATCCGAGGCCCTTAAGTCTCTTCCATGTCCCTTCCGCAGCTCTTCTTCATATTTATAACTGTATTTTCCCTTGTCACCTGCTCGTTTCACTCGTGGGAACTCCAGCTTAACAATGTTTTTGACCCTTCTCGACAGATCAGCCCCTTTTCCATAATCCACACTAAACTCCATGTGGTATTTAAGAACATATTTCAAAATCCCTCCAAAATTAGGAGCCCCCAGAACCCCAAACATCTCACGGCCCATTGCCAGACTTGAAAAGTCCAAACATCCCTGCATAGGGGGGTCTATCCAGCCCCCCATTTCCAAACCAAACCAAACGTTTTCTTTCCAAATCTGGCTTTTTCCAAGTTCATTTGTCAAATCCAAAAGCTCATGTTCCTGTTGGGCCACAGCTCCCTCTATCTCTGGCGCCCAAGATTCAGCAACATCCTCTTCCCTCATCTGTTCTGTCAGGGCACACTCCTGATTTAATTCCTGGGTGGGCTCCATATATTTTCCCACTGCCTGTTCAAAATTTCCCACTGCCTGTTTAAAATTTCTGATTGAATCAGACATCAAATCCGTCTTCTCATGTAACTGTTCCAGTAGGGCATTTGTTTTATAGAAAGCACACAACAGAGCTTCTGAATACATTGTCCTGCAAGGTCAGAAGTCTATTCCCACGATTGTAATCTGTAACAGCTGCAAGCTCCCCGGAGTTGGTTACAGTTTCACAGTCTCCCTGTAGGGGGAAAACTTCTATTGGTTCTTTCTTTTAAAGACAAGTCTAGCAACAAAGTTTCCTTTTTCAGATATTTTGTCAATATTTGTTCCTTTAAAAAGCGAAGGGGAACAATGGAATCAATGTTTCTCTTCTTATAGCTATCTGTCAAAAACGTTGTCTCTGGTCAATGAGCTTCAAAAAAAACGTCAGTCCTAACACCCCGCTCCAGGATCAGGACGGTGGAAAGTTACTTTACTTTACCCTCACTTCTGCAGGTTTAAACAGTAAAAAAAAAATCCCCCCTCTTCTCCTGCTTCCGAAGGGGGTTCAACAATTTTAAATGATGAAAGTTAATCTTTTACAGGCGATTTTCTGAGCTCTAGTTTGCCATGTCTTTGCTTTATTCTATCTACAAAGAAACAGAAGGCTGACTTCCTGTTTAGACCTTCCCGTTTCAGTGCCAAATTGAGGTAAACTTTTAAGTCCAATTTTCCTTTCTGCTCACAAGTCCTTATTTAAAGTCCAATTGTCCGAGTTTAGGTACTCACGGGTGATTATTTTAGAAGCCAAATTGTCCCAGGAAAAAGGCAGCGCTCTCCGGCAACGGCTGTGCGGCTTCGCTCCACGGAAGAAGCAGTTGACTCTCAGCACCACGCCACTTCCCCCTCTTCGCTACGGAGCCCGATAGTGGCTCCCTTAGCGGGTTGGCGCCCGCTAAGGCTGCCCGCCGAGTCCCATGGTCACAGGCTTCATCCGCCTGTGATTTTTGAAAGGGTCCCCGCTTCGCCGTAGCGGAAAAGACCCGTTTCGCGTGGAGCTAGTCCCTCCAGATCAGAGGGAGTCTGCCATTACCGATGGCGCCACCCCGGAAGTCCCCCACATTTAAATTCTTCCCTGGTCTCCTTGCTGGCCCTAGTAGGACCAATGTGGTCAGTTAGCCCTGGTGATCATTTGATGTCTACTGACTGGGGTTCCCCCCCAAAAAAATGACCCTTGAATTTTATTGATATTGATGCTGCGTTTTATGTTGTCTTTTATGCTGTTTTTAAGTAGCATTTTAATCAATGTTTTATATTTGCTGTTGGCCGCCCTGAGCCCATTTTTTAAACCGGGAAGGGCGGGGTATAAATAAATTTATTAGTATTATTATTATTATTATTACACTCGTCAACAACAAATTTGTTGTCTGCGTTTTTTCAGATGATTTAGGACGAATCTGATGCGCTGAATCCAAAAATCACATTGGTTTTGCTCAATCAGGTCAAGTTTTTGAGCTATGGCCACATGTCATTTTTTTACGTTTTTGTTCACATGTACGCTTGTGTGGAGCATTTAGAAGAAGTTGGTGGGGGTAAAATGCCATGTCGAATAATTGTTTTGATTGGAAATGATTATTCTAATGACAAGAAGTATTCAGGTCCGATAGTTCTGGGTGATTATGGGTGATTAAGTGGAACTGGAAGCGTGGAAGGCATTTGTTCTGGTAGTAAAGAACTTTCTTGGCAACAATAAGACCAGAAACTACGCAGAACTTGTCAACAACATGCTGACTGCTTTCAGAAACCTGGGCTGCAACATGAGCGTCAAGATGCACTACCTATTTTCACATATGGATCGGTTTCCTAAGAACCTGGGTTCAATGAGTGACGAGCAGGGGGAGAGATTCCATCAGGACATGAAAGACATGGAGACCAGGTATCAGGGTTGCTGGGACACAGTCATGATGGCTGACTACTGTTGGACTCTGAAGAGAGACCTCCCTGCCGCTGAGCATTCCAGAAGTTCCAAGAAATGGAAGTTCAAGCCCTGAAGTTTGAAAAATGGTGAAGCAACATGCAATTTACTTTATCAATGCCCACCATTCGGTTTACAGTAATCGATGTTTCTATCAGGTAATCAATATATGTTGTTGGAAAAACATTTTTTTCTCTTAAAAACATGTTTAGGATGATATGTGTTGACAAAAATCAGCTGATAATGCCACAAAAATGTAATCGGTTTTTTCACAAGATCTGATTTTTTTCAAATCAACATAGCACAAAAACCCGACCTGATGGAGAGGAACGGATGCCATTTCCTGATTCAGCAGTGCAAAAATACCCTAAATCAGTTGTAGAAATCTAGACAACATTCAAAAAGTAAAAGAATTGTTGCCCAGTGCTATTATTAGTGGCGCCAGAGCCAGTGATCGGTGGAGCCAACTAATTTTGCTCCCATTCACATCCCTGCTAAGTTGTATGAGGGCAACACTGGGACTAAGGAAGAAGAGGAGGAAGCTGACTGGTTGCATGCAGACAAAAGGGCAGTCAGGTGAGGGCAGAATAAGGCCCAATTTGTTCTAACGGATCACCTTCTGCTGCCTGAAAGTTGCAGCTTCTGCAAGTAGGAGATCCCAGAGATCTTGGCTAGAGGCAGCAGACATTACCCCAGTACCCTGGCGGTCCTCCATGTAGGATAACTATTGTCTGCCTGCGTAAATTTCTCCCACGGCTTCCAGCGGCACAGATTACTTTGTCCTGCCGTTTGGCTAGGTTCCACAGCCCACTCATTCTGGAACAGTGTGGAGGAAGGGAGCGAAACGATTGGCTTTAATGGGATTACTCTGGAGCAAACACGCCTAACAGCTCTGGGTGACCTCATTTGTTTTGCAGCATGTTCTGCCTTCGTGTTGCAGCCTCTTGAGGAGCTGGGGTGTTTTTTTTTTACGGGATGGCTTCGTTTCAGGGGTGGGTGGAGTGAATGATTTGCTTTAAAAATAGCATTTGGGTAGCCTTGCAAATGCATTATTGATAACCACTTGCATTTATTATAGCCGAGGAGTGCTTGCAAACAGTGTCTTCATTAAGGGCTCTTCCAGCTGACGGGAGGGGGAAAGGAGGGTTTTCATTTTCATTTACCGTATTTTTTGCTCTATAAGACAAACACCAGACCACAAGACGCACCTAGTTTTTGGAGGAGGAAAACCAGAAAAAAATATTCTGAATCTCAGAAGCCAGAACAGCAAGAGGGATTGCTGCGCAGTGAAAGCAGCAATCCCTCTTGCTGTTCTGGCTTCTGGGATAGCTGTGCAGCCTGCATTCGCTCCATAAGACTCACACACATTTCCCCTTACTTTTTAGAAGGGAAAAAGTGAGTCTTATAGAGCAAAAAATACGGTAATTCTTTGGCATTGTATCCAATTTCTAGTTCTCAGAAAACAACTTTTGGCAGAATTTGAGGTGGGCCTTTCCGATGTTGCCTTTTTTGGTGGGGAACGAAAGTGAATTGCAAAGGCAGGGGTGAAATAGCCTACACCTTCTTGTGTTCTCCTTGTAGTTGACAGCTCCCCCCACCATTTTTATTCTCCAGCAAAGTTCCAGAATGATGCTATAACATGTAATGTCGTCCAAACCCATAGTCAGAAGGGGGCAGGAGAAAGAGTGGCTATCATTTTTTTCACCAAATGCAGCTCACAATAATTCTGTGTCTTGCTAAATTGCTGTATTGTAATAATAATAATAATAATAATAATAATAATAATAATAATAAATTTTATTTATACCCCACCCTCCCCTGCCAGAGCTGGGCTCAGGGCAGCTAACACCAGTAAAATTACAGTAAAAACTTAATAGGAAAAAAACCCCAATTTAAAATACAGGTTAGGTAAAGGTAAAGGGACCCCTGACCATTAGGTCCAGTCGCGGACGACTCTGGGGCTGCGGCACTCATCTCGCTTTACTGGCCGAGGGAGCCGGCGTACAGCTTCTGGGTCATGTGGCCAGCATGACTAAGCCACTTCTGGCGAACCAGAGCAGCGCACGGAAACGCCGTTTACCTTCCCGCTGGAGCGGTACCTATTTATCTACTTGCACTTTGACATGCTTTTGAACTGCTAGGTTGCCAGGAGCTGGGACCGAGCTGTTAGGATATTTCCGTTCCACCTTAAAAGGGAGCAGGCTTTGTGAGTCACAGAGTCTGCGTATTTCCTGTTCACAGGAAGTTTATATTTTGTCTATTGCTTTCGTTTTCTCTCTGTGCCTGAGACATCGAAGCAGGCAGTCATGTTTTTTTCTTTGTTCTGACCAACGCTGAATAAACTTGTAAATATGCTCTCCTGAGTGCATCTTTCGTTGTGCGAACTCTGCTGATAGAGCGTGCACGAGCTCTGGAATGTGGCAAGCTATTTCTGAGGCTTCGTGTTGCTAATTGACTGATACCGTATCTATGGGAGATCGATGGATCGTCCGGCATCAGCGTGGGGGCATAATGGACTTTGTCTCCCTGGCAGTATCCCAACAACGGGAGCTCACTCCGTCACGGTGATTCAAACTGCCGACCTTCTGATCGGCAGGTCTTAGGCTCTGTGGTTTAACCCACAGCGCCACCCGCGTCCCTTAAAATACAGGCTAAATTGCAATTTAAAATGCAGCCTCCTTTTAAAAGTAGCCCATAGATCAAAACCATAAGGGGAGGGAAAACATACGGGTCAGACTGAGTCCAAAGCAAAGGCCTGGTGGAACAGCTCTGTCTTGCAGGCCCTGCGGAAAGATATCAAGTCCCGCAGGGCCCTGGTCTCTTGTGACAGAGCGTTCCACCAAGTCGGGGCCAGTACTGAAAAGGCACTGGCCCTAGTTGAGACCAATCTAACCACCTTGCGACTTGAGACCTCCAAAATGTTGGAGGGTATGGAAGCGCCGTTGTACAAACCTTTGTGTGTGAAATAGCAGAGGTGTGGCTGGAAAGCCCCTCCCCACCGCTAGACGGAAGACGGATTGAAGAAAAGGACCTGTGAATTGGCCCCGCCCCCTAATTTGACCAATCGCGGCTAGAAGCAGCTAGGAGCAATGTGGAATCATAGATCTAAAAAAAGTTTAGACTAGTACATGCCGGCCAGCTTCCATTTTGGGCTTATCAGAAGTACGTAAAGGCAAGAAATGGGCAGGGGGAACACCGGCCGGCAATGGCGACCACTTGCGAGGTGCTGGAACTGTGCTCCGGCTGGAAGAAGAAAAAGCACTGCTCTCAGTCATTTTTAAATCCTCCACCTTCAAATTCATTTCCCTGTCTCCTAACCACAAGTATTCTATTTCTTTTTTAAAGTGGATAAGTTGCAGTAGGGCAACAGAGCACTGGAATCCACTTCAATTGTGCAAACCTAATTTTTCCCGGAGGCATCCCTTGCGTGTGTTGTGGGAAGATGTCATAGTGTCTGCCTGGTGCTTTTAGAATAAGCTTATGGCCGCTCACGCTGCTTGCTGGTTCTTCCTAATTTTTATATATTTGTATCGTGCTGCTGTTGTTTTCTGCATGGTAAATTGCCTCAAGCCTTTTGTTTTCGGTAGCAGGCACCTAACATAACAAATTAGCAATACAATTAATACTAATACGAAACTCCCATCTGTAAGGCATGCTGACAGCTTGCTAGCAAATATTGTCTCCATTGTCTGAAAGTGGGTGTGAGGCCATTTCTTTCTTTTTTTTCATAAAAGGGATTCTGAGCCCTTTTAGTTACTGTGAATATTTAGAGATGAAGTAATTGTTCCTCTAGATTAATGTGGGATACAGGGATTAATGCTCTCTTGTAACGTGGTGCCAAATGTCAACTCTCGCTTCCTCACCATGACAAACTTTCAATTCTATTTGCATTTACATCTTCTGCCATCTTAACTCCATCACTGTGGCACCTGCTTAACACTCGAGACCTGTGGAAGGTCTCTCCCCCCCCCCAATTATTTTGATTTTCCATAATTTTTAACAAATTGTGACCAAATTAATACAAATTTGTATAAACCTCCCCAAATGTTCCCTCTATTTTCCTCCCTCCATCGCTGCTCCCGGTGCAATAACATTTCCAACTTTCATTTTAAAATTTCACCCCTTCTCCCTCCACGTCACCTGTTCAGTTACCAATTTCTGCTAAGACTTTTACATATATTTTTATAACCTGTCCTCAAAGTAGTGGGGTAGAGTAAATCTTCTTTTATCTATCTATATACTAATCATTAATTAGGGCCTTTTCAGTGATGGCTCCGCCCTGGTGGAATGCTCTGTCCCATGAGACTAGGGCCCTGCAGGATTTAACCTACTTCCGTCGGGCCTGTAAGACAGAGCTATTCCGTATGGCCTTTCATTTGAATTCAGCCTGATCTTTTATTTCCCTTCTCTTCCCTCCCCCTCCCCTTTTATGAAGATTACCAGCTCTGAGACACCACAGCAAATTCTCCCCTGACCGCCTCGTTGGCCCAAGTAGGACTAATTCAGCCAGCTAGCCCTGGTGACTATCTAATGCTTATTAGATGGATTTCCCCAAAATTGATTCTTGAACTTTGAATTTTATTGTTATTCATGTTTTTATACTGTATTTTATGCTACTTCTACAAGTAAGTGTTTTTAAATTGTTGTTAGCCACCCTGAGCCCAGTTTTCTGAACCGGGAAGGGCGGGGTATAAATTAAAAAATATTATTATTATTTAGTATTAATCAATTTTAAAATGTTTCTCTCTGGTACCTCTTGAATAGTTGACCCCATGGACCAGAGCACGTCAGGCACTCCTGTCTTCCACTGCCTCCCACAGTTTGGTCAAACTCATGCTGGTAGCTTCGAGAACACTGTCCAACCATCTCGTCCTCTGTCGTCCCCTTCTCCTTGTGCCCTCCATCTTTCCCAACATCAGGGTCTTTTCCAGGGAGTCTTCTCTTCTCATGAGGTGGCCAAAGTATTGGAGCCTCAGCTTCAGGATCTGTCCTTCCAGTGAGCACTCACGGCTGATTTCCTTAAGAACGGATAGGTTTGATCTTCTTGCAGTCCATGGGACTCTCAAGAGTCTCCTCCAGCACCATAATTCAAAAGCATCAATTCTTCGGCGATCAGCCTTCTTTATGGTCCAGCTCTCACTTCCATACATCACTCCTGGGAATCCCATAGCTTTAACTATATGGGCCTTTGTTGGAAAGGTGATGTCTCTGCTTTTTAAGATGCTATCCTGTTGTTTAACGCAGCTGAAATGCAGATAATTGAGTCGGTGGTAGGTGAGTGGACCAAAGGGGTGATGCGTACAAGGATTGCTAGATCCCTTTATTGTAAGATGCATGCCTTCTCCTCCCGGAATGGATGTCCCTTGTTTCGACACTCTTTGTTTCCAAGGGGCATAATGGATTCCTCTCATACATAATAGATGCTCCTCGTGTATTTCATAGGGCATAATGGATGTCAAGCACCACAGCTCTAAAGCATCCCTTTATTATGAAATTTTGATCTGGCAGCCCTTGGGGCACGTAACCTCTTGGCTGCCTGTTTTATTTGGTTTCACGCTTCACACTTTACTCTGAATGGGAGGAAGTTCCAGGACAGCCTTCGAGGGTTGGCTTTCGATACAAGGAAAGCCAGACGCTGACAAGACATTCTGTGTTGGCGCATGGGTTTGTACGCAAATACTGGGATTGAATCACAGAATTGTAGAGTGGGAATCTCAGCTAAAGCATCCATGGCAGATGGCCACCCAACCTCTGCTTGAACTTCCAAGGAAGGGTTTGACCATGTGGGAAGGAAATAGGCTACACTGGTAAGCCAAATAATAATAATAATATAATAATAATTTATTATTTATACCCCACACATCTGGCTGAGTTTCCCCAGCCACTGTGGGCGGCTCCCAATCGAGTGTTAAAAACAATACAGCATTAAATATTAAAAACTTCCCTAAATAGGGTTGCCTTCAGATGTCTTTTAAAGATAAGATAGCTGCTTATTTCCTTCCCATCTGAAGGGAGGGCGTTCCACAGGGTGGGCGCCACTACCGAGAAGGCCCTCTGTCTGGTTCCCTGTAACCTCACTTCTCGCAATGAGGGATCCGCTAGAAGTCCCTTGGCGCTGGATCTCAGTGTCTGGGCTGAACGATGGGGGTGGAGACGCTCCTTCAGGTATACAGGACCAAGGCCGTTTAGGGCTTTCAAGGTCAGCACCAACACGTTGAATTGTGCTCGGAAATGTACTGGGAGCCAATGCAGATCTCTCAGGAGCGGTGTTATGTGGTCCCGGTGGCCACTCCCAGTCACCAGTCTAGCTGCCGCATTCTGGATTAATTGCAGTTTCTGGGTCGCCTTCAAAGGTAGCCCCACGTAGAGCCCATTGCAGTAGTCCAAGCGGGAGATAACTAAAGCATGCACCACTCTGGCGAGACACTCTGCGGGCAGGGAGGATCTTAGCCTGCGTACCAGGTGGAGCTGGTAGACAGCCGCCCTAATGAAAGCCAAACCCTAATGAAACAGTGTCCATCCAATTCCTTAATATCCTTCTTTAAAAGAGCCCTGAAAATATGTTGGCAGTTTCCCAGATTCTTTAGTCTGCCTCCCCCCAAATCTTCTTATGCACAGTTAAGGGATTAAGATCACACTTTTCCCCACCAGCATGCATGCATGTCTCACCAGGCAATCGCATGTGGGCACAACATTTCAGAAGAGGGCATCTGCATGCAATATCTAACATTTTTTTTATTTATGCATTTGACTGATCATCCGCTCAGTGATGAGAGTCCTCCGGGCGATCGAGAAAGCAGAAACAAATTAAGAGTCGCAGTCGAAGTAAGGCAAGCATTTAAGAAGCAGCAAATGAAAAGGCTATAAAATCAAAACAAATTCCTTTGGAACAGAGATCATCAAGAGATTAAAAGATTGCTGCAATGGTCAGCTGGAATAGAGAGGCGAAAAGATAAACATTTCACAAAGCTGAACGGCTGTGCCAAAACCAGAGTTTAATGTACAGCCGACCTTGGAATGCAAGCAAGATTCACCGCTGACAAGAATCACTGTTTTGTCTGTGAAAGGTCTGGGGGATCTGTATTTTGGTCATGTTCAGTTACGGTGCAGTATCACAGGACTTTGTATGAGACAGGGCTTCTGCGAAGGCTGAAGTTCAACAGGTGCAACTACTTCAATCTCAGCTTTGCATCGCTGGAGGGAAATAATAGCTAACGGGCATCCCCTTTGGAGGGGAAAAAGTCTCTGACCTGTATGAAATGTGGAGCCGCTGGAGACAAGTGGAAGTTTGTGTGCAGCCAGCGAAGTATGCCTACAAACAGCCAGTTCTTTAATCTCAGCATGAGAAAGTTGAAAGGGAGAAAGATCAGTTTTACAGAGCAAAAACGCCGGCTCTAGTTGACACGGTATACGCAGCGGAGAGAGGTCAAAACGCAAAATTCAGATTTTCAGTAATGCGGCCGTCTCTCAGTCATGCTGAACAAACTCCTCATTGTGTGCACATAACAAATGGACTTTTCTTCCATATTGGGCTGCAAGGCTCCTTTGTTGTCTTCCTTTCTTCCCCCCTTTCCAGAGCAAACTTATTTGTTGTCAACAGAGCCAGGGGGAGGACAAAAAAACCCAAAAACCAACCTATCGCTTTCCCTCTGTTTGCGTTCCCATGTGTCTCCTTTATGTTAACCCGGGCCATTGATAAAGTGCAGGATCTTGTTCCAGACCCTTATCTGGCTCCTGTTTGGCTTTGCTCTCCACCGCAACAACTCAGCTGTCCGTCTCTCCCTGTGACCTTGCACTGGGAGCCATTCTGTCCCTTCCCAGTGCCGGAAACTCACTTCTCCCCTCTCATCAGCTCAGCGTGCACAGAGCCTAGACTTTTGCCCCCGGGCTCCGTCACCGCCACATTGGTATCGACACCGACAGCCGAGAGAACGTCTAGGCAGCAGCTTCCTGGGCTTGGGCTGCGATATTATCAAGGCCATCAGCTTGAGTAAGCTGTAACCACGGAGTCCCGTTACAATCTTCCATCCCCGGCCCGTATTACGACACCGGGTCAGTCCCTTTGTGGCGGGCCTTGTAAGAAAGCACTGTCCTTGATAGGAGGGTGATAAATGAAGCCGATACTTCCTGCCGTACTTTGCATGGCACATATAAAATTACCGGCTGGGTGGAAGACGCTTTGCGATACAGTTGCGTCAGGAAAACCAGGCAAGACTGGGACTAAAGAACAGGCTTGCAATGACCTTTGCTCTCGGGGAAGAGCTGTAGCTCATTGGCACTGATCCTGGCTTTCATGTAAAAGGTCCCAGGTTTGATTCCCAGCATCTCCTGGTAGGACGGGGAGTGTCTCCCACCTGAAATGTTGGAGACACTCCTCTATTGATATTTCTACATTGCAGGGATTTGGACTAAATGACCCTTGGAATTCTATGACTCTGTGGGGTGGTTTTTTTTGCATAATTTTAATTTTCAGGGTTTATAACGAAAATCCTGCTGTTGCCTTTTTAACATTCTAAATCTGAGATAGTCAACATGGTGCCATTCATTATTTTTTTAAAAATAATATTTATTAAAATTTCAGAAGAAAAAGATTACATTAATAAGAAAAATAACAATAAAGAAAGAAAAATACAAAGTACAAAAAAGAAAAAACAGTTAAAAACAATTCCATCTTTTCATCGCTTCTCTTACGTTTACTTGTTTCCCGGACCTCCTCATACCTCCCTCTTTTGTATTCCAATTCAATTTGTTAGTCCAGCAATTCCTTTCCCTCCTTTTTAATCCTGATCTTTACTCTTGATATATTATAACATTAAATTTTTACGTATTAAAAACCAATTTTTCCATATTCTTTTATACCAGTACAGCTAGAAACCCCTTAACTTCAATCCAACATCATTCTAACATTCATTAATTTTACAATATTTCTGTAAATAGTCTTTAAATTTCTTCCAATCTTCTTCCACCGACTCTTCTCCCTGGTCTCAGATTCAACATGGTGCCATTCAGACATTGTTTGACTACAACTCCCATGAGCCCCACCACCAAGGCCAATGCTCAGGGATTATGGGGGTTGTAGTCCAGCAAAATCCAGAGGGCACTATGTGGAACAAAGGCTCTAAAGCTGTTTTCTTCTCGGTCCACTTGCTTTGCTTGCATGGCAGTCAACTAACCAGGCCGAACACCTTTGGATGCTTATATGGCTGCTATCATTGTGGTATTTTAAACACCATACGCTTGTAACAAAGTTGAAACAGACCAGTCCGTGTATTACCCATCCGTTGCATCAGTTATCTCCTGCCACTTTACTCAAGAGGACCGCACATGTCCGAAGGGATTGGCAAGTCTTCACAGACGTTCCCATATTGCTCTGGAGGAAAACCACAGCCTCGCCGTCAGTTTTGTAAAAAGTTGGAGGGGAGATAAATAATAATAATAATTAATAATAATAATAATTTATTATTTGTACCCTGCCCATCTGGCTGGGTTTCCCCAGCCACTCTGGGCGGCTTCCACAGAGACCAAAAATACACTAAAATGTCACACATTAAAAACTTCCCTGAACAGGGCTGCCTTCAGGTGTCTTCTGAATGTCAGGTAGTTGTTTATCTCTTTGACATCTGAAGGGAGGCCGTTCCACAGGGCGGGCGCCACTACCGAGAAGGCCCTCTGTCTGGTTCCCTGTAACCTCACTTCTCGCAATGAGGGAACCTCCAGAAGGCCCTCGGTGCTGGATCTCAGTGTCCGGGCTGAACAATGGGGGTGGAGACGCTCCTTCAGGTATACAGGACCGAGGCCGTTTAGGGCTTTAAAGGTCAACACCAACACTTTGAATTGTGCTCGAAAACGTACTGGGAGCCAATGCAGATCTCTCAGGAGCGGTGTTATGTGGTCCCGGCGGCCACTCCCAGTCACCAGTCTGGCTGCTGCATTCTGGATTAATTGCAGTTTCCGGGTCACCTTCAAAGGTAGCCCCACGTAGAGTGCATTGCAGTAGTCCAAGCGAGCGATAACTAGAGCATGCACCACTCTGGCAAGACAGTCCGCAGGCAGGTAGAGTCTCAGCCTGTGTAGACAGGCTGGTAGACAACCGCCCTGGACACAGAATTAACCTGCGCCTCCATGGACAGCTGTGAGTCCAAAATGA